CTCATGCCAATATGAAAAGATGACGAACCAATGCATTTTACAGATTCTTTTGTTTTTGTATTCATAAAAAAGCTATTGTCTAAATATATAAGATATAAAATCTATGACAATTCAATTCACAGATTGGTTGCATGCTATAAGACACGCATTTGTACCTGAGAACATCCTGACATAATTCACCTTCTGCTTTCTTGAAACACAAACCAGTTGAGTTTTTCTTTACCGAGCAGTAGATGAAGTTAAATGCGTCCACCATGTAATTTTGGTAGAAAATGTGTCAAAGTTAATTAAAATATAATAATAATAATAACAACAACAACAACAATAATAATAACAATAATAATTTGACGATGGTTTTAATTTAACATGTATCGATTAAAAAGCTATTATCTAAACGTGCTGAATTTGAAACGTGTGACAATTTATATCCTAGAATGATAGTATGGTGTTATATAAACATTTGTTCCCGATTATATCTGGCATAATTCAAATTCCGCGTTCCTGCGTCACAAACCAGATGAGTTATTCATTGCCGAGCGGTAGAGGAAGTTGAAAGTGTTCACCATATAAGTTTGGTAGAAAATATGTGAAAGTTATTAACAATAATAATAGGGAGAAGAAGAAGTCGAAGAAGAAGAATTTTCTCTCGATGGTTTTAATTAACATGTATTGATTAAAAAAGCTATTATCTAAATGTACAGAATATGAAAGGTGGGGCAATTTATTTCTCAGAATAACGGCACGGATTCAAATAAAAATTTGCTCGCAAGCACATCCGACAGAATTCAAATTCAGCGTTCTTGAGGCACAAACCAGATGAGTCATTCGTTACCGAGCAGTAGAGGAAGTTGAACGTATTCGTCCTATACTTCTTAATAGAAAATGAGTGAAATGAATCTAAAGAAGCGGATTAAAATGAATTCATGGGTTAAGTTCGTCAGAAGTTCGAGTATAAAAGAAAAACTCGATAGGGTGTTACAGGCCTTCAAGGAACGGCAAGATGTGCATGATGACGGAAGGAGTGAGTAGTCAAAAGAAAATAAAAAAAACGTGTGAATTTTGGTGCACACAGAACGAAGATGAAATGTATGACTTGAGAGCAGGAAAACTGGAAGTGAATTGAGGAACATTGCTGTATATTCTGAGAGAAGATTTGTGAATGATAAAAATGCTTGTTTCAATTTTCCAAGTTAATAACCACTCGCATCCACACTGAAGTAAAAAAATAACTACCCTCACATGCATGATGATAGTCCCTTCCGAATGCAGTTGATCATAACTCTTCAGAAATTCTTTTTTTTGTTATCTATGAATTTTTATGCCTTTTTGGAAAATATATTGGTGTGCTTTCCGTTTATTTCCGCCAAGGCTTAGAATTAAGAGATTTCGCTTCTCTGAGACTGGTTTCACCGAACTCAATGAAGACCAGTAGGATATATTCTTTAACACGTAGCTAGAGATATAAGTGACATATTAATATCTTTGACAAGGATATTCATGAGAAAGTAAATAATACTTGCCCGGAATTTGAACTCGGTTCGTCGACATTACTTTCTACTTTGGTTTATCGTTACACTAACATCATCTGCTTGAATTTGCTTACGCAAAAATAAGTCTATTCATTGATATAAGTATCATAATATTCGTTTTTATTTTAAATATACGTTGCGTTTTTTATAGTAAAATATTTGTAATGTCGTACAAAACGTTAAGCGGAAGAAGTCGTTCAAGACGAACGACTTCGTGACTGAGGGAAAAGTGAATTTCACGGATATCGATGGTTAGTGTTCAAGTCGAGGTCAAACTGGGAATTTTGAACGATGTCTTGTAAAGAGACAACTCTCCTAAATTAACAGCCCCCTTTTACCCATATTAACACGAATTTGGCTTTGTGCACCCCTGAAGGTCATACGGCCATATCACGTTTAACCCTTTGATCCATGGGTTTCTGAACAATTTTAACCATTCTGTTTGAGCTTCTGCGTCCAAATTCGCAAATGATTGGTATGTAATGATACACGGTAGCTATAAAAAGAGTTACACAATTTTATCCACCGTTAACCCGGTGGCTGGGCATTACGTCCTTTTTCTCTACTAGAGTGAAAGCGAAGGCCAGGGCTCAAAGGTTTAAAACACCGGCTGATCATCGAAATTAAGCAACGACGAGCTGTGTCACTACAGAGTTGGGTAACATCTTGTGAATACGAGCTGCTCTAAGCTTGGTGGTGGAAATGATAGCGTAAATAAACGTTGTAAATATATGAATCCACCTCATCTCCTCTCCGAGCTATGGGTCAAATAGTAGGATTTGTATTTGAAAATCATTATAATCTCCAAAAATTTTATTATAATATTCACTTGCAAATAAAAAAAAAGAATTAATCTTACAATTCAAAAAATATATATATCGGTATTAAAGTACCCCATAAAGTGTTGATAAGTCGTTAAAAAAAATAATCAAGCACCCCGTAAAATCAATCTAATATACAGGATGGATGGAAAATAATTAGCCATTAGAAATTGCTTATAGAATTTTTAGTATCATTGAAGTGGCGGCGTGTTATGATGTTGATTTGGGGTTAATAGAGACAAACGCCAAATAACAAGTAACAATAGGTTGGTAATTAGGTACAGAAATCGCATGAGTAGTCAATAACTAGCTCATATAAGAACTTTTCTATCTGTCTTTTGACATGCCACTATCTTAATGTCTTTGTTCGCAGACCAGTTCATCTTCAAGAGGGGTGGTAGGTTTCCGACACAACACGGCGAAAACATTTTTAAACAGACAACAGGGATTTCTTATTTACGTGCAGGAGCGAAATCCTGAAGACTATGACCACGAAATGCAATATGAAGTTTCGCATTAAGATTGTACTGAATTGTTTGAAAACATCCTCTGGAGTGACGAGGCAGTTTTCCTTGTTGGTGATTTCATCATTCGTCACAACTGCCATTACTGGACATCGTGTGATAACGAGCCGAATATGACACTTGATAAATAGGTTGCAAACTCGACCAAAAATGACCGTGTAGTGAGGAATGACGGCAACTCATTATTAGACTTTAACTGCTCTAGCATGAACAAGCGTTGCTCCAGTGGAAAAATGCGAATACGAGTTAACGTTTACTAGCCGATTACGTTGATACTGTGCACTATTATAAACATAGGAGTGCATAATACGTAACGCTATCTTCAAATGCTCAAAAATTAGGTGGCCTCCCGGTGTTTGGCTGGGATAAAACTGGTGATTTGAGATTCAAGCAGGATGGTAAACCACCTGATTTTACTCTTACTGTGCGTACGTGTTTAGACCAACATTTTCCAGGATATTGGATAAGACGACGCGGACCTCACGAATGGCCTTCAATAAGTCAAGATCTCCCTCCAAGCGATTTTTACCTGTGGAGTTTACAGGACAAACCCTCGCACAATGGAACATTAGAGACAGAGATTCAGGAGGTTCTCAATCATATCCCAGACGACGTCAATCAGAAGGTTGTTCATTACATTCCTAGTTGTTTGTGGAAACGGACTGACGCGACCAATGCTTACGTTGAAATATATACTTTCATTTTTCCCATGTAATTAAGAACATGTATCATTTGTTTCAAACAATATTTAATAGGGATATAGATTTTATTACTGTTGTGGTAGGATCCACCTAATTTGCATAGTGGAGTACCGACCATATAAATATGGTTGGTACCGGGAAGACGAGGGGAGGAATCAAGAGATTCAATCCAGAGACTCTGCCCGACTGCGACTAAGTCAACACATTCTCGAGGAACGGTCTTCCCAAGAATATACAAAAGACTATATGTAAATATTGTGTACACTTTCTTGTTTCAATACATTTTGTTCTAAGTACATTTTGTGTTGTATTATTATTCCATGCATTAGTCAAGTTTCAACAATTAGCAATTTTTAATTCCTTCTTATTTTTTCACCCAGCGTGTATACCACAGATGCCGAAATCAGGTAAGGTCGAAAATTTAAATATTTGGGAAGTGTTGTAACAGAAGATAGAATATGTGAGACCGAAATCCGAAGTCGCAGAGACACAGAGAATTATACCTTCCAAAAAAAAAAAATAAGCAAAGTATTAAGAAACAGGAATATTTCGTTAGAAACAAAAAGTAAAGTGTGCTCTTATATAACAAGGAATATTGTCCCATTTTCTCACAGTTGACGAAGAGAATTGAGACCACAGAAATGTGGTTCTACAAAACGAGGCAGAGAATATAATGGGAATATATGAGGAACTAGGAAGTTATAAAGAAAGTGAAAACAAAATGACACTTATACATAGAATTTGAAAGAGACAGTAGAAATTACTTGAAGACATCTGTGTATCTCCGAAGCCGATCAAGCATAGAAATGAATACAATATGGGAACCAGTAATAAGGAGTGCAAGAGAAAATCAATAATAACAACAGAAATTGCAATATGAGCACTGGCAAAAACATGCATTGATAACAGCCAAAATTGCAATATGAGCACTGATAAAACATAGTTGCTGAAGACATTAGGTTTATAATACACAGAAATTCATACGCAGATGTGCTCAAGGACACATGACACAGGGGATAAAGGCGTTGGTTAGATCCAGTAACAGGACCCAAAAAGTGTGAGTTCAATACCTTTTTAAGGCGGTTGAGAACTTGGAGAGGGGTATTAACAGGAGATAACTGACATGTGGAACTAGAACGGCCTAACCCAGTGGGTGAAATAAAGTGTTCAGTCCGACATTCCAACCAATGTACAACAGCCGAAACGTTGTAATAAATATGGCGACAATAGTGTACATAATACCTCATCTCAGAAATATAGAAATATACTGAGGAAAGACGACTCGGAAAATTTGATAATCACAGAGCATACTGAATGATAGATGGGTTCAGGTAAACAAACAAGCAGGGAGTAAACTACATAATGAGCTTTTATAAATAGATGGGAAAAGGAGAATGGGAAGAATAGGAAAAGGACAAAGATTACTCAAAATAATGGAGATGTGAAGAGCCAATGCATGTAGAAGAAGAGGGGCGAATAAGAAGAAGAGGAGCGAAGAAGAAGAAGAAGAAGAAGAAGGGGGAGGAGGAGGAGGAGAAGAAGAAGAAGAAGAGCGAAGAAGAAGAAGAAAAAGAAGAAGAAGAAGGGCGAAGAAGAAGGGCAAAGAAGAAGAAGAAGAAGAAAAAGAAGAAGAAGGGCGAAGAAGAAGGGCAAAGAAGAAGAAGAAGAAGAAGAGGGCGAAGAATAAGAAGGAGAAGAAAAAGAAGAAGAAGAAGGGCGAAGAAGAAGAAGAAGAAGGGCGAAGAAGAAGTAGTAGAAGAAGAAGAAGAAAAAGAAGAAGAAGAAGGGCGAAGAAGAAGAGCAAAGAAGAAGAAGAAGAAGAAGAAGAAGAAAAAGAAGAAGAAGAAGAAGAAGAAGAAGAAGAAGAAGAACTGAAGTTAATAAATACAGGGATGGTTTCTTTAGCAGAACCGGTATTTCGGATTCTGGTTTTCCCGGAAATCCAGCGACAAAAACTAGCGTATCATAATTGTTTATTTTATTTCATAATCATTATTTCATTTCATATCGCTGTGTATCATATGAAGTTCAGAAGATAACAGCATCAGTATCTCGATCAGTAGCACCTGCGACAAAATTCCGATGTTTCACATTCACAAAGGTGTCGGGGGTCGATAGAGAGATCGATAAGTAGTCAGTTTAAGGAAAAATGACAGTGATCGATAGATAGATTGTTTAGTAATATGTGCGTCAGGTGCCAGAAAAATTGGCTACGACCTAACTCACGAGGTGACATTCTTTTGTGTGCGCAAATTTCACCTTCGTTGATGTTTTTCTCCCCTTTTCTTGTCGTAAAAAGTCGGTGTCTGGGAAATGTGGCACGGCTCCTGTGTATTTGAGTTCGAATATCGTATTTCTTGTGTAAATTAGATGCCATTTGACGAAGGAACAATTCCCTCTGATTAACAGCGGTTTTTCTGATGCTGGCATTGAAGCAGCCATTATGAATAGAGTCCACAAATAATTACTTTCAAATCATACGCTCACAAACACTATTTGTACATGACACTGTTCCATCGTTTTGTTCCTCTTTGCTTACTGTTTAGTATCTCCCGACAAATACATTTTAGTACAATGCAGGGAAATAGTATATATATATATATATATATATATATATATATATATATATATATATATATATACACATTGGTGTCATTAGTCACGTTCAATGAACTATGGCACTCCCAACTATGACAATCAAATCTTATGATCATATTTTTTTTTTGGTGGGTAGGGCAGAAATTACTGTGCCTATTTACGGAATCATAATCATCCAATCATATAGGATTTTAAAAAGATATCTTAGTCACATTTTTCCTAAATAAACATCTACATTAAAATTAAATTGTTAAAAAGAATTTCCCAACTACAATCAGATGCAAAATTCATAACGGCATAGCACCACGTCTCTCAATGAAACAGCAGAACTGTGAAAACCGGTAAAGTAATCTGTCTATATTACTATATTTTATATATATATATATATATATATATATATATATATATATATATATATATATATATATATATATGTGTGTGTGTGTGTGTGTGTGTGTGTGTGTGTGTGTGTTTTTTAGTCCGGTTCCTTGTACCACGGTAATAGTCCAAGGTAGAACCAATAAAGAAGAACCCGATTACAGGTATGGAATCACACAGATATATTACAAACAGGAATATATACAGAGAAGTAGAAGTGTTAGTATGAACAATCAGGTTTAGTAG